CAAAAAATCTGTTCACATACACACACACACACTTTGGTCTCATTCGATTCGGAATGGCTTGAAAGGTCGATAAAACATAAAATTTGCGAATCGGATTTTTTGGTGAAAACAAACTTCTCCTTCGGGAACTTAATTACTTTTAGCGTTCGTTTTTTTTGAATTATTTTTATATAATAGGGGAGACTGATTACGGTTGTTTCAGGGTACGGTAAGAGTCACGAAGATTTCTTGCTAACTTTGTTTAAAAAATTGTGTTTCGTTATATATTGTTATATTATATTCATAAGCTTTGTTTAAATGATTATGTTGTATTGAGTTACTTATTTCTGACAATAAAAGTCGTTATGAACCATTTTGGTGTATATACTTATTGTTTTTAATCTATTTTTATGCTTGTCACAACCGTCCTTGGGGTGTGGGTGGTTGTGCCACTGGCCCTTTTTTGTATGATATAATTTTATGATAAATCATCGTATTTAAGGACCGTATTTCCACGTAGACAAATGTTCAAATTACTATTTAATTCACCATTCTAAATATGGTGAAATAATTTAACCATTTAGCTGGGAGAATTTTACTAAAATAACAAATTATTGCTGATCCAACGGTACCCTGTTTCGCTGCTTCAAAAATAAATGCAGAAATAAAGCAGTTTTCGGATTTTACCGAATAATCAGCATTATTAATATCGGAGTTGCATAATACTGCGTGCATAATAATCCGCAAACGGATTGCAAATTATGAAGCTTAAATATTATTTCCCTATATATTTTCACCTTCTCCAGCGCTATCTTAATTTATTCGAATTGGTGATAGTGAGAAAATAACATTGCACTATAAAAGCTTTTATCCTTATTCCCTATAATTTCACTAGAATTTTTGATAAGCCATAATGTATTCACATTCGAACACATTGAATTCGTGTATTTTTAATGTTAATAACAAATATATTATTACACAAAAAGTTTTTGTGTAATTTACGTATATTATTTTGGGAATATAATTCTGTCAAGAATTGATTTTAGCTATTTCGCGCTCAGAATACAAATTTATTTATAAAGTGGCATTAATTTGGCATTGGAGTTATATTCGGAAATAAATTTAATAATTGAATAATATTAGCTATTAAAAATATATAATAAAAGACTTTCAGCTAAATTAAAATTCTATTCGAAAATAAATTTAATTATTCCATAATATTGGCTATTAAAAATTTACCATTAAATATTATATAGGTTAAATTAAAATTAAATTGGGAAATAAATTTATTAAGTCAGTTATATTGGCGATCAAAAATTTTTATTGAAAGATTTAAATGAATAATAACACAGGTCCACAAAAAAGTTATCTGTATTGGGTGTACGACATATGTTTTTTAATGTTGAACACGAATCTAAAGTCAAAATTGTGAGCCAAATGGACAATCTAGTAATTCTTCTATATAATAATTAAAATATTTCAATTTCTGTCGTTCCTTTTTACTTTAAATGATTGAGTTTAAATGATCAGTTGAGTTTTTTTGTATAATTTAGCAGTAACTTGCAATCGAATATCTGAAAATATGTTTAAATATTACTGCAGTTATATTAATAAAGAAAAAACATTTTGAAAAATTCCTACTTAATAGATTATTTAGGTAAAAAGGGCCAGGAAACGACAGAAATTATAAGATTTTAATTATAAATGATAAGAATTACTAGTACGGATTTTTCGTTGCTTTTTTATTTATTTTTTTTTTCGATTTTTTGTCATTTAACCCCTAATTTTGAGTTTAAACTCATGTTCAGCGGTAAAACTACATTGGAAAACATATGCCGCACACCCAAAACAGACATCTTTTTTTGTGTAATTAATAGTCATTTGTATTTTCCGTAATAGTAAAATATAAAATTAGGCAAAATGAATTAGTTTAAAATCTGCTTTCTATTGCTTCCGAAAGCAATAATAGTGAATATTAAGAAAAAAGCAAGTATGTGAATATTAAGAGCAAAAACTTTAATGTAAATCTCAAATAAATAAGTATTATAAAGTTCATGTAATATTTTCGCACATTCGAATAATTTCAAATGTTAATCCTTAACATTATTTAAGTTTTGAGAAGGTATTAAAATAAATTATAATATAATAATTTGATTATGCTAGAGCTTTAAACTTTTATAACTTTGGTAATATTAGCCGATTTATCGTATTCTAATAATAGAAGTACACGCTCTTAGTTTCTTAAATTAATCTTAATTTGTTCAATATCCAATCAGACGATATCCACATCATGAAAATATAATAATGTCAAATATTTCAAATTTTATTTACATTTATGAATTACAATCTGTCGTTATAAACAACATTCAATAATTTTAATGGTTTATTAAATAAGGAAAAAAGGTCGAAAGGTCACCCAGTGGTTATCCGATTCGATGTTGGATATGTTTAGTTTATAGATGTAGTCATGATGTGAAAAAGCCTACGAGTAATTGTACATATTATAGAATTACTAAAGGATATCAAAAAGGGGCCGTTTTCTTCTGAGCCGTTCGATGCCATGGTTTTTTACTAAATTTCTGGTCATGATATTTGGATTGTGCTAAATTTCTTTCTTAACTGTGTTCATCTGTATAAACCAACCAATTTGAGACATACTTGGGTGCGTTTATAATTTCTTCCAAAATCTTGTTTTGAAATCTTTTAATTATGGCGATCTTGGATTTGCGAGCCGTTCCCCAAAGCTGTATTCCGTACGTCCAAATTGGTTCAAATAATTTTATAATAACAATTCTTTGTTTGAATTCGTGAATATTGGAATATTGTGTAAACAAACTTAAATGAAATTTCTGTACATTTTTACATGTTCGTAAATCATATCTCGTGCTCGTCCTGGCTTAACTATTTAGGAACTCAGAAATTTATAAAAGTTCCAAAGTCAGGGCAACTAATTAATTTATATATATACACACATATATATATATATATATATATATATATATATATAAATCGTTTTATTTCTAGAATGCGTCTGAAGAATGCAACAAAAACACTTTGAAAGTGTGCAGCACTCCCGTGACACAGAAAAGTTCCCTGTTCCAGAGTTCGACAAAAAACGGCGAAATTCAGGTAATTAAGATCATTTATCTTTCACTCATGAGTGGACATATAGCAATATAATATATATATATATATATATATATATAATATATATATATATATATAAATATATATATATATATATATATATATATATATATCTGTGTGTGAGTGTGTGTGTCATATGCGCCCGCGTGTATTATATATGGCAAGAATAAAGTAGTTTGTTCTTCCATTATTGCACAACATATCGAACATTTAATATCAAAATGTTTCGCAATCGTACTCCCCTCTGGCAAGGTGGAAAACTTTTTCTTTTTCAATAATAATCACCAGATGACATGATATATTGTGATGCGACTTTAAAAAAAGTTCACAGGTGTCGTCGAAATAAACGAATTGATTTCAATTTATTGGAGAAATGTTCTTACCCGAAGGTAAAAGAGGAATGGCTATTATAACCTTTATACGAGCCTGGTATTTTTAAATTATGCAAAAAATATATGTTATAGGAAAGCTTTCCAATATATCAAATCATGTAGTAGGATTGGAAATATTTCACATAAATTGATATCTCAAAATGTATGTATTGATATCTCAAATGAAAATAAATATATGCGGCTCGTTATAATCAGGGAAAAATCCTAAGTTGTAATTTTTACATCAAAATATATTTGATAGATGTTTATATGCTAGCCATTTATATTTCTCATAAAAAACAATTATATACTTTAAATTAGTTTTTATATTATATAAATATAAACAACCAATCTCGATAGTTCAACGTAGATGCCTCCGAAAATAAAGTTTGATGAAAAATAGTTTAAAAAAATTTTCCACTTTTTTTAACACCTTTGCATTTTGTGAATAGCTTGATAAATCATAAACAATCAACATGATAGTAATATGCAAGAACTCGTAATAGGATTGAAATCATTTCATGTAGGTCAAAATGTATGATTACGAGTAAAAAATAAATACATCATTACATGCGACTTGCGACTATAATTTTGAACAAATTCTTGATTTAGAATTTTTGTAGAGCTAAAAATATTCAATAGATGTTAATTTTCTAGTCAATTATATTTTGCGCAATAAAATTAATGTTTTGATATTATTAACTTCCAGTAGTAATCGCAAGAAATCGAAAATAGAAATTTGTATATATCTTTGCGTTTCAAATAAGGGAAAATTGATGAATGTGTGTGTGTATGTGCGGATACAATTTTTCGTCGACGATTTTGAGAACACGGATCCACCGATTTGAATGATTCAAAAAATATATCAATGGGAGACGTGCTGTTTAGTTTTTGGCAAAGGCAGGTCCAGCCGTTTCGAGCAAAAGTGCCAGGAATGGTAATTCAGCGTCCAATTTGAAAGATTCAAGAAACATTTTACTTGTATTGGAAAAATTGAATAAATTTTTAAAAAGACATGTTCAGCGGTTTTGGAGATTCGAGGACGAAAGTAAAAAAATGCCATTTTGCAAATTATCAGAAATTTTATGATTTTATTAATAAATATAAATTTTGTTTATATTTCTATTGGTTCCGTGCCAGGATTTATAATGCTTACCCGTTGCAACGCAGCGCGATTGTTTCTAATTTTTTATTCAGTCATCAAAAAATTAAAAAACTCTTAAAAATTTTGAATTACGGTACGGGATGTTCTTGCAAATTGCCATAAGGCACGATGCCATTCAATAGTTTTCAATATTATATAAACAATTTTAAATTTACTCGGTACAGGACCCTAAACACGTGATCAACAATCTGTATACAGTTCTCTAAGAAATATAGATAATTCGATGTAGAAGTGTCTTCTAAAAATAAAGTTTGATGAAAAATAGTTTTGAAATTCTTTCCACTTTTTATAACACCTCTTCATGTTTTGAACAGCTTGATAAATCATAAATAATCAACATGACTGTAACACTATTCGCATCTGTAATTTCCACTTCATATATTTTGATAGATGTTGGAATTTTTAAAGTGAGTGAATAATATTTTACATAAACACACTCGATACCCATGTTTTCTTTGAATGTTAATTATAAAGAAACGAATTTTAAAGGAAACTTTATCAAATGTTGTGCGATCTGCAAAATCGCACAACATTTGATAAAGTTTCCTTTAAATTTTTATTGATTTAGAAGTAGGGTAAAGCGGAGCCTAAAGACCCGCGAGTAAAAAGGTCCACCACCTATATCTCAAAAACAAGTGAAGTTAAGAATTTTTTAACAACAATATTTTAAAGTAGAAGGAAAAATATGCGTATCGAGAAAAAATGGCAATTTTTGAAAATCCATAACAAAATTGTTGTTTAGTTTATGTTTAGTTTAGTTTACGAGTCCTTAATATAATTTTTAAGTATACGTTATTTAATTGTTTATTTAGTAGAAAAGGTGTGAACAAATAAACCTGGCACAGGTGTAAATGTAAGCAGTAAAAAGTAGTAAAAAAAGTAAAAAAAATAAAAAAAAGCAATTTTACAGGAGATAAATTAAATAAATAGTCATTTCAACTTTGCTGATGACAATTTCTGACAAAATACTAGATCAAGGTTATACACAGTGTTTTCTCTGTAAAAATGTACCAAAAAAGTTTTTATTTTGCATTGATTAAATAATGTAGCTATTATTTCGTAAAATTCCTTTAAAATCACCCGCCCATGGGGTGAAAAGAACAAGGTGACAAATTTTTGAAAAACAGCAAAAAACACATTTCTTCAATGATGAATTATCTAGGAGTTTTACTGAACATAATTAGATAGTTGTTTGTTTGATATGTGTTATTTGTTGTGATATAGTCAGTTCGGTTTTCACAATATAATTGCTCAAAGTCAAATTGTATTTTTATGTCCCGCCCTACCCTATTTTAATAGACAACATAATATATTAATGTTATTTAATTACATGCAAAACTTTAGTGCGTCGTAACTTTAAGCATACAATATGAAATCTTCGCAAATATCCTGTTCCGTGAATTTATGCATTAATGAAACTACAATGTATTAAATTTCACGCAATCTCCGAATTTGTAAAATTGAACATCGTCAGCCGTTCTAGAGCTTTGCTCCAGGTTCATTTGCATATGAACTGTGCCGCCTGTGAATTCATTATACATAACAAATATGGATTCAAAATTCTAATTGAATTTCAAAATATTCATTTTGGAATGTCACAAAGTGCCAGTCGTATGGTTGTAACTGATGGTACAGAACCCGGAATTGTACAACAAGTCGCAAAAAAATGCAACATTTTTAGTCTGGTAGAAAATAATTTTTATTGAACATTAAACCTACCATTGCTGGTCAAACTGGCCGTTTTCTTTTTCAAACGTTAAAATACAATTATCAAATTATATAACAATTCTTAGAATGTATTAACAATCTTCTTCGCTCTTTGATTCTAGTCATTTTCTATATTTTCTGAAAAAAAATATGTTATGTGACCTGACTACCGCGGTCGGTCAATATGACCGCTGGAAAATTATGTTATATGGGAAGTCGTTTCAGTCGAAGAGAAGGTACAGATTTACACAATATATACCAAATAAGCCAGACAAATTTAGAACAACGTTCTGGTTGGTGTACGAAGTCAATAGTAAATATATAATAGTTGGGTTTCTCTATTCGGGAAAGGATAAAATGAAAGATTATTCAATTCCATTCGGAAAGTTCGTTGTTTTTAAACTGATGAATTCTTTCACAGATTTTGAATCAAATTGTATAAATTAAATTTTTATTACTCTTACACTAAGGCGAAAAAAGTTCAAATATAACTCAATGGTAATATGAGAAAGGAGCAAACGTATAGCGGAAATTATTAAATTTTGTATTAGAACAAAACTCAAAGTAGAAGGTGCAACAGACCAAATAGCAAATAAATGTGACAAGAAGTCGAAAAGTTGTAGGACGCCACGACTTCGGGTATTTTTCAATATTTTGGACCTAGCTGGATAAGATAAGAGTAGATTTTGTATAAGGAAACAATAAGTGAAAACATTAACAAGAAGGAATTTTTGTTTCAATTAGCTTTCTGAAAAAACTTATGTTTTTACCAACATTGCCCACAAGTTCGGAATTGTGCGTACGAAAAACATGTTAAATAAAATTTTGTAAAAGTTATAGAACAACAACTATATTTGTGTTAAATGCACATTTCAGGCTCAAATAATTTGTAAACTAGTGGTATATGGCACCGTGCCAAGGAAAATTGCTGGAATTTCCCGTACCGTAACGAAAAGTTCGAGGAATATTAAATGTTTTCAAATACATTATTTTGAATTAATACTGTAACATTGTCTAATATTTATAAGAATTATATCAACTGAACTGCAAAGTTAAGATTATTCATTTAAAGTATATAAGTGAGCTTTCGAATTTTAGCAATTAATTATTTAGAATTAAAATTAAACACTGAATTATTTTCGATATACAAAAAAAATTATATTTCAAAAAGACTATAATGTCCTTGAAATAAGATCCAAAGAAAAAAAGATGAAGTATGTTTGTTCTAACAAGTTTTTATCTTAATTAAATTAAGAAATTAATTAATTTTATTTATATTAACATGATCAATGTACCGAATTCCTTTTAAAGAGGAAAAATAGGTTTTTCTGTTCGATTTCTTTTAATAATTATTATTACTTGTATACAGATAGATCTTTTTGTTTGTTATTTTTCTGTACGTTGAACATTAGTAGTTAATTACCAATAATTTGTTTTGTTTTATTATAACATGTATATCTTGTCCTTTTTGTGTGAAAATCATATAGATAAAGAAAAATCTAACTTTTTATTATTATTTTTATTGACCTCGCTTACTTAGAGCATTTATCTACCTACGACTTCAATTTTAATATTATATACTATCTTTATAAATTCTATACTATATATATATTCTATACTATCTTTTATTTATATCCTATTCTATCATTTTTTTTTGCTGTTTACAGTAAATTTTTTCATTCTATTTTTTTTTTAATCTGATCTTTTGGAATTATAATCTTGCTTTATAGTTATTGTTTGTAACCTATTTTATGCCTCCACACCCTAGGGATGGTTGTGAAACTCTCCTTTTTTTTGTATGTTTGATTTTATGACTAATACATCGTATTTAAGAACAGATTTCCTCATGGACAAATATTTAAATTACCATTTAACTTACTTTTCTCCCAGCTAATTAGTTAATTTAAATTATTTTTAGAAATTATATAAAAATAGAATTGGATGAAATTTAATGAGTTTTTTTATTTTACTTACATTAAGCAACAAATCAATCATTATATGAATTGAATAATAAAATATTTAACTTTTTAATGAAATGCGGTCAATTTGACCGCACGCGGTAAGAATAGATATACAATATTGTAGCCAGGCTTAGATTTAATTACAATTTGAAATGCAAGCTATAACAATTTTTTCATGTTGATACAGAATCCCAAGTTAGGTAAAGTAATAACACTTTATTTTCTGAACAAACTACAAAAGTTTCGCGTTATTTTAAAACGTAAAAATGAACCTTTTTATATTTGATTCTATTTACAATTTGTATACCTTGCCCTTCGGAAAGTAAAAATTGAAATATCAGCGTCGTGTTTTATATGTGTATCTTTTCCCCCACGTCGGGTGTTCATTATTACATGAAGACGTGCAAGACTTTACAACAAAGAAAAACAAATCTAAAATACACGGTGCTTTTAGCATCTGAGCGAAAACCTATAAAAAGTTATCACTCTTGAAACATATCTGAACTTTTTCGATATCAATCTTTTTAAATCTGTTGAATTTGATATCAAATAAAACCCTTTTAGTTATTTTAATATTACTTTATTATTTCAGTTTTTTTTAACTGTTTTATGAAAAATACTTGATGTGACATCTTGACAAATTATCTAAATGAAAGAAAAATTCAATAATATAGAATCAAACTAGCAATGAGACAAACTAACTGTTGATATTGTCACTACTTTTTGAAATAAATAAAATTAACTATCAAATTGAAATTTGAAATATTCATATATTATACTAAACTTTATATCGTACGAAACTACCAAGAAAAGTAAAACATAATGAGTGTTGGAAACTTTTAAAAATTTATAAAACGAAACTTCAAGAACTCGATGTTTTAATTTCTTCGAGCCAAACGAAAGTTTTGGGGCATTACTTCTCATTTCATGGGTAAAACTTGAAAACCATTATGTAGAAGTTACGGAGCCTTAGACTATTAAATAAAATGAAGATTTATAGTTTTATACTATCTAGAATCCAGTGTAATAGTTAAAGACTCTTAGTTAGTACTAGTTTTAAAATTTCTTGTTTCCGTATGTCAAACTAACAAAAATGTTCTAATACTTTGTACGAAATTTTCAAGAAAACTAAAACGGTATTTTTAAATTACATAAAAAGTTTTGCTGGATTTGTTTGAAAAATTGTTAGTTAATTTTATTTTATTTTTATTATGTGAATATGAATTTTATAAATTGTTACAATTCCTAGAAAAAAAACTGACTATTTAACTTATAATCAACAGTGATAATGCAAATCCGGGACAGAGAAGAAGGCTATTTACGCTAAATAACTTAGATATGATCTAAAATAAGACTTAATAATATGAGATACAATAAACATCCGTTTTTGTTGTGAAGGTAATTTTTTTTAACGGAATTAGTAAGAATGAGTGCAAAACTTTTTATATGTTTTGTAATGTTTTTTTCGCTTTTAAGCTTTGTATAAAACACCTAACAATTTTCTCCTTAATTAAGTTTTGTAAAGAATATCGCTTTTTGTGTGTTTAATTCAATTCGAGTCTTTTCACTTGTTCGAGAGTTTTTTTTTTTGTAGTTTTTGCATTTTGCTAAATTTGGAAATGTAAGTTCGAAATTATTAAAGTGAGAGGCTATTTTAACCCAATTTAGATTTTTGCATTCAGCAATTATTTTCAGTCGTATATATCATTTTCGGATATTTGATAAGTTATTAACTTCTCGTAGGGTAGTTATAGTAATGGGCCGAAAATCGAAAATAAATTTTTTTGCATTTCTCCGCATTTTGAAGGTTTCTGAACATTTTGGCATACCTCAAAAAATGGATGAGTGTGTGTTTTGCGTGTTCGCATTTTATTGTTCACGTTTTCGGGCGCACGGATCAACCAATTTGAATGGCTAAAAAAACATTCGATTCCTATTGATGGGGAGATGTGCTGATTAGTTTTTGGCAAATGCAGCCGTTATGGAGATAAAGAGCAATGAGTGCAGAAAATAGAAATCGAGATTTTGAGCATCCGATTTGAATGATCAAACATTCAAAGACAGGCACAGCCATTTCGAAGATACTGAGCTAAATTTACAAAAAATAACAGTTTTTGAGAGAAATAAGCATCCGAAATGAATGATTTAAAAAACTTTTTGCTTGTGTTGACAAAACAATTGCTTTTGGAAAAAAATCATTTCAATTTCTTTTGTATATCGAAAATAATTCAGATTTCAATTTTAATTCTGGCTAAAGTTTTGAATCTCACTTATATACTTTAAATAAATATTTTTGATTTTGTGATTCAGTTTATATAATTCTTATTAATATTAGACAATGTTACAGTATTGATAATAATCTATTTGAAAACATTTAATATTCCTCAAACATTTCGTACGGGAAGTTCCGGCAATTTGCCTCAAGGCACGATGCCATACAACACCAGTTGTGTGTTTAATTCAATTCGAGTCTTTTCACTTGTTCGAAAGTTTTTTTTCGTAGTTTTTGTATTTTGGTAAATTTGGTAAGTTCGAAATTATTGAAGTGAGAGGCTATTTTAACCCACTTTTAGATTTTTGCATTCAGCAATTATTTTCAGCCGTAATGCATAGTTTCATATAAGCAATATTGACGTATATGTCATTTTCGGATATTTGATGATTCAAATACAAAGATTCAAATTCAACTTATACCTACTTTTCATAAATTCGGCGCAATTGAAAAATAAAACTAGAAACCAGGACAATTATTGCTTCTAGAAAAACCAGGGACCCAATGTGGAAATCCGAGACTGTCACTGCCAAACCAAGATGTATGATCACCTTCTAATGTGCACATGCCAAATATTTAATTATATTATATTATCCTTATATTATTCTTTTCCAACTTAACTCCGCCTAGCCTGTCTTTCGTAGAAACCAATAAATTCTTTACATTAGCAACATGATCACTGGCGTTTAGCGGTTATTCTCTTTTTCTGAAAATATATCAAACGCTTACATACTGAACTTGTTTCCAAGTATGCCAAAATGTTCGCATGTGTATATTAGAACAAATTGTAATTTTTCGAAGGTAATAAATAAATTATGCTTGTAAATTCTCTATAACGAAACTTTAATTATCCTCCTTGTTATTTGGGACGTAAGGTGTCATGGTTGACGAATGGACGGACAGTCTGTTACAAATCATTTCAATGGGTTAATATTTGATGATTTCAGGTGCTGCAGAGTTCGCCGCAATCGATGATCAGGTGCCGCGCGCCGTCCATCGGCGTCGATGTCGACATGGTCTCAGAATTTGACCCAAGCAGCTCAGATTCTGGAGTCGTAAGATATTTTTAATGCTTTTACTATGTGCGCATGTTATCATGATAGTACCAGTAAAATGTATATTTATATACATATGGAGGTATGTGATAACTGATAATGTTTGTTTATGTTGTTTTGTATTCCCATAAAATACTGGTAGCAAAGGTAAATTATGAGAAGCGTATGATTATAAGTGTTCGACGTGTTAGATTAAGAATTAATGATTGTTTATCATATTTCCTCTTGTATATACTCATTTGTTTTCTAATTTTGTATATTTCTATGTTTTTAGCGATCGTGGAGTTTTCAATATTATTAGTATGTTTGAATAAGTGCATGCTGTATTGAATTATGACGCGTCGCATCGTAATGACTGTTAAGCGCTGTAATGTTTTGACATTGTATATGCGTGGTAAGATTTACTATCATGCTTTCAATGTTTTTAGTATTTGATTTGAATATTTTATATATGATGTACTATTCAAGTACTCATCAATATACGTGCTTATATAAATAGCCGTTGTGCATGGTTGTGCTACTTTTTTTGATACTGTAATTTGCTATCAAATAAATTCAAATATGCCATCTTACCATTATACTCTAGTTATAAGTGAAAACGATTCAACTGATCTAGGTAAGCCGCTGTGCAGTAGTTAAGCCATTGAAATTTCGTCTGTGCCAGCCAATATTTGGCCGAAAAACTCACCACAAAGCCAAAATAAAACAAACTGATGAGAGTCTACAGCAAATCAAACAAAGTGAATTGCACGATTTATCTCTAGAATCGGCCGATAAAGAAGGTATTACAACTGAATCTATAAAGTTGAGATCGGGACCTGGCGAATTCGGTGTGCACGCGGGCCAAATGTGTGCGCAGCCTGTCGAAGTTATAAAGAGGGTGCAAAAACCTAGAGACCCCGAAAGAGAAAAGAAAAGAATAGCACGCAAGAAGGAGAAGCGGGCTACTCTGATTTTAGGACTAATTATGGGCAGTTTTATCGCCTGCTGGCTTCCTTTCTTCTTCCTGTAAGTAAATACTTTACAAGTACAAATAAATACGTACACTGAACATAGGTAGAACGCGGTAAAAATCAATTTGTTACACAAAAAAAATTAAAAATGGATAAAATTAATTAAGATTAGAAAATATTAAGTTCTATACGAAAGTTATGTTTATTAACTTCCCGAAGGAGAAGTTTATGTTTTCATCAAAAAATCCGAATGGCTAAATTTATGTTTTCTCGACGTTTCAAGCCATTCTGAATCGAATGAGACCAAATTTGGAAAAAGTATGTGTGTGTGTGTATGTGTGAACAGATTTTTTGCCGTAAATCGACGTTTTCTCAAAAACGACTGGACCGATTTCAAAAATTTAAAAGCCATTCGATGTATCTCGATGAGGACTATTGTTTATCAGTTTTGTACGACGATCGGCCAAGCCGTTTCTTTATAAATCGCAGAAGAGTGAAACATTTTTCGTCTACGTTTTAGCCCGCAGTTCTGAATCGATTTTGAAAATTCAAAAATCGTTCAAAAGATATTGGTTGGAAATCGTGTTAATTAGTTTTTGGTAGAGATCGGCGTTTTCTTGTAATATGGTGTTAAAAAAATTTTTTCGACGATTTTTATTAGTATTTTTTGACGGTAGATACCATAGTATTCTAGATCATACTAAAATATTACGGCCCTACGGCAACTCGTTTAGCTTTAAAAATTTGTGCTCGATGATAAAAACGATTTTTTTAACTGCTGAATTAAATTCGTCTACTAATAACATGTTCCGTAATTAATTTAAGCCTCTGTAGGCCCGCGTAACTTTCAGATCACATTAGAAACTTTTCGATATTTTACTGAATAATTACGACTTTTTTCGTGAGATGATGCATACATCTTAATTCTATAACGTTGCCAAGACAACCAATATCAATATTAATGATCTTTGCTAGACTGAAATAACATTCCCATACATAGAAGTGCGAACCTTATAGGGCGGTGTGACTTGGAAGTCACATATTTTTTTACCAAAAAATTGTTTAAGCTGCATTTTCTTTTTTCATTTGCATATATAGGCCCATAAATACAGATTTTTTCTTCCTCTATTTTTTTTAGTAAAACAAAAATTCGACCCATAGAGACTTAGGAAAAGTATAAGTATGTGTGGATCATATTCTTTGAATAAATATTCCATAATATACAAAGATAATAGTTTCCTAAACATGTAAGCTCCAGCATAATAAAGAAAACAAAACATTCGGATCAATTATTCTATCTTTGGAAACTCAATAAATTATATTCAATGTTTTAGCTATGTCCTATTATTTTCATAATTGATGAAATAATATCTATTTAATCTTTCTTGCAGATATATATTAACTCCATGCTGCCCATCGTGCAACGTACCAGAAAGCGCATTTGCCATTGCGTTCTGGCTGGGTTATACCAACTCTGCGTTAAATCCAGTAATCTATACTATATTCAACAAAGACTTTAGAAGGTAAGTAATTAAAAATTAATTAATAGTACGTATATATATATATATATATATATATATATATATGTATATATATACATATACATATACATATACATATAGGAGAGGTACGGACAAAATGATATGGTGTTTTGTTTTTTAAATGATATTCATTTATTTAATGATATCATAACCATTCAAGTCTCAATTACTTTTGCTTATCTTTGATTGACTATCGTTAGATAGTATTTTAATTAAGTAGGAACTGAAATAATATATTTATTAAAGAAAATTGCAACCTATACGAGTAGTACGAACAAAATTACATATAAGTTAAGGACATACTGAGACGCTAATTTTTAAAAAAGCAGTACACGAATAAATTATTTCATATTCTTTGGGACATTAGCACATAAAGCATGAAAACAAAGGGTAAAAGTCATACATTGTAATCAATCTTCGCCGGGCTCAGAACATAAAAAGAGGATTTTGCAACAAACGCAAGCAGAGCAAAGCTCTTCTTTATACCGGGGGATCTTTCGGTTTGTTTTTAGCAATTATTTTTTGCATACTTGGAGTAAAAGTTAAAAGCCAATCATTCTTGGAAAGTAAACAGAAAATCAGAATTATCAACTTACAACAAATTACTTATATATAAGCCGGTGATCAAACCCGTGTGGACTTACAGAATTCAACTTTGGGGTACTGCTAAAAAGAGCAATTTAAACATAATACAACGTGCACAAAACAAATTCTTGCGGCAAATATTAAACGCTTCTCGCTACACGCCAACATGGATCCTCCACAAAGACACAGGTATACCTACAATTCAAGAACATATATCAATGGTTGCCATTAATTATAAGAACAGAATAGATACAGAATAGTCCATCCTAACCAACTAGTATGTCGTTTATACCAGAAAGGCCAGCCGACCAGATTTAAAGGAAAAATACCTGGAGACCTAATATAATTTAATTAACTATAATACTTTCATTTTACTACATTTTATTGCTTTTTTTATTATATTAGCTCTAGTGGATACGCCAACGAGGGCATCTACTAA